ATGTTCATGACAGGTGTTATGTCATGTTTATGACAGTGTCATGACAGTCTTATTCAACCCCCTTCAAATAAAGTGTTACCGACTTTTGTGAAGTAGCGTAGGTTTCATTCACATTCCCATCACATCTGCATTGACCAGCAAACCCCTAATACACATGCACGTCATTTTTCATTTCATCCATAGCTCTCTAACCCCTCTCCCTACAGAGTGATTAAGCTATTCATCTGAGACATTCAATAACACTCACGCACAATCACATGCGCGCACACATGCAAAAAACTATCATCAAGCAGAATTACACCCACCGTTAACCCTGCAACACGCCTAGCAACCAATCAATACCAGTCCACCACTGTGTTCGCGCGTGTGTGTGCGCGTGTGTGTATATGCTTGGCTTCTAATATCCTTTTCCCACTCAATAATTGCTGGTTGCTAATAATTGCTTGTCTGTCTGCCTAAAGGCTATTGTGTTTATTCAATGGTGTGACTATGTGTGTGCTCTTGTAACTGGGAGTGGCAGCTATTATGTTTATCCATGCAACAGTGGGCTATAAATACCAGCATGCATGAAGACATATGAATCAATTCCCTTTAAAAAGACACAGCAGATTGAACAGAAGTGGCGGGGAAACTAGTAACAAAAGAAATTTGACAAAAAATACTGATGGGCGTGAAAGGAAAATAAGACTTTAAGAGATTAGAAAAAGTGTTGGTGAGTGTGGTTTTTAATGTATTGTGGACACAGGTGGGCATTACATTTAACAGCTGGGTTCAGAAACAAACAGGTACTTAGTTTTATTCTAATCGGCGGGCAAGGCAGCTATGTTTTATTTTTCTGCTTTATTCTCCAAAGCTTACCTGATCAGGCCACTTGGAATTTTTTTTTTTTTTTTTTTAAGATTTCTAAATGTTGGAATAATTAATTTTTTTTCTTCAAATTTAGCAATTTACATACATTCCTCTAGCATCTGAATTACCTTTGGACAAATATGTTTCCTGGAATTTTGGCCTACCTCTCCTGACAGAACTAGTGGAACTGTTCTGAGTCTTATTTGTGGGCCTTCACACTTTTCCTTCTCTGTTCACAGGGTTCCATAGGACTGAGATCTTTGTGATGGCTTTAAACTTTGTGAAGCTTTAACTTCCTGATTGATGTCTTGAGATGTTGCTTCAATATTTCTACATAATGTTCTTTCCTCATGATGTTATTGATTTTGTGCAGCCATGTCTCATGAAGTAAAACAGTCACATTAGGTGACTACTTTGATTATGACAACAGTCAGTGTTTTCAGTCTTGTTCTTCTACAATACTCTTCCTGACACTTTAGCTGATTTCTTCAGTGTGTTTGAGGTGTTGCCCTAATGTTGCCCATCCTTGTGGACCTTCATTTAACTCAGATGTTTTGAATCAGCAGCTAATAATGCAAAGCATCTTGGTGTACTTAATCTTCTGATGTCTAAGAGAATACTAACAAACTTACTAAAAAAAAATCATTCTGGTACTTAGGAAACATAAATAATTTTACTAATCTGAACTGACATTAAACAGGGAAAAATTTGCCTTATTTAATGTCAGACAGTAATAAAAAAATATGTATTTTCATAGATTGTGCATATTCTATTAGAATATTGAAATATACAGTTTTCAGCTGTACACTGCATGTGCAACTAACACTTACTATCCTCGTGTGTCTGCAGAAGGGTGGGTGCACTGCAGGGGCCGTCTCCAGGTGTGGTGAAGCAGAGAGTGGAACCGTAGTACCAGGTGAACTTCCTGAGACCGCTGACTAATCCTGTGTGCCGGGAGCTCGGGTAGTCAGGAGTAATGGTTACCACTCTAACCTCCTCAGGAGATTGTTCAGGCCAGACCAGGAGCTGTGGTAATTTAGAAAAATAACAGCAGGTGACACAAACAATAACTAATACATCTTATCAGAATCCTGCAGCAGTAATTTATTCTCAATCTACATTTTTTTATTTGTCACAGGGGCTTCAGGCCAGGGAATAATTTTTAGAATAACTCAAATTGCATTTTGTAAGCACACACATAATTGCGCCTCCACACGAGCTCTGGTAAATCTTTTTATATTAGTTTAAAAATAATAAACAGCAAAACAATTTTCAGGTTCCCCTTCCAAGAAAAGTGATTTGAATTCTAATCATTTGCTTTTTGATTGTACCTCGTAAGCATTGTCAGTCATAACAGCGACTAATAAAAAAACAGTTTCTTATTTTCCATCCAACTATAAACCTAATAAAAGAATTATTGTTTCGACAGTCAGTTTTGATTTAGATTAAAAAACAGCACTCTTGTTGGAGTTTCTATATTAGCTAACAAACTGTGAAATGTGAATGTTGGCAGGCTTTAACTGGTGATTACTCACAGGCAACATTAAGATGGGTTGTCAACATCTGAAGCTCCTTAAGAAAAGGTAACAAGCTAAAACCTGATGTCTTACTCATTATTATACCGAGGTTAGTTTCAAGATGTCTGTGGATTTAACCTTAAATTGACGTGGCGTTTGACCCAGCACAGAAACACTCTGCATTTGTAGTAGTCTGTGAGAAATATTTATTATTAAAAGCTTTTGTGTACACATAATGAAAGTACAATAGTTTTTATATAATCTAAGTGGTTTTATTGTGTCAGTGACACTTTCATTGAAATATATTTTAATGGATGTGAATCTGATTGTATGATTGTACTGAACTGATTTTTTTTCTCCATAAAAGTCAGATATGTCGCTTGATTTAATTGGCACTATAAATAAATAAACCAAATTGATGTGAATAGAAAATGTGGCACCAGTGAATTAACTAAAAAGGCAATTATGACTGTAGAGTTACCCCACATGGGAGAATGTGCTTCTAGATTTCTCTCTCAAGAAGTTTTATTATATCTTTAAAAATACTGGAAATATGTTTGGAGGGCCTGGTGTAGATTGGTTATAGGTGAAGGTCAACAGCGAGCCTTGGGCTTACATCTGGCAGTAGCCTCTTGCAGGAGACTACAAGCAGCTCTACAAGCAGTGAAACACATGATTTGTTCTGTGAAGAAAAAATAAAACTTGGCACAGTAAGGATTCACATGCATACTTAAAATTAAATTAGCAGATCAAGATGTTTATATCTGTCATTTAAACAAAGCTGCAGTAGAAGTCTGATGAAAGATTCAAACAAAACTACATCCCCTGGGTTCAAACCGTTACTCATCTACTTTGTAGTGCAAATTTCTCCAAAAAGGAAACGGATAAATCTCATAGCAAAAGAGCCAGTGATACCCAGAGACATCTGAGTGGCTGCTCTTCCCACTTCCTGCAGGTTACACCGCAGCACCAATGCTGTTATGGTAAAATAAGGTCCTCTATTATGATTTCCTTTCTGCACAGTGTAGTTTAGGTACTTTGAAAAAAAAGTGCTGATTTGATATCCTCAGGCACCCTGTGTTATTCCACATTCAAAGGGTGCTGAGAGAATTTAGATCTTTCCTTGATATAGTCATGTGAGGGTCTTTGGCTGGGCTGAAATCGAAACCCAAAGATTGCTAAAGAGCATGAACAGCAGCGAAAAGTGCCCATAGCAGACTGGATGATAGATAGACAGACAGACTGAAAGATTTATGGTAGGTAGGTAAGTAGGTAATAAATGTTATTAGCTCTGCACTGAGTAAAGTCACTTCCAAGGGCGTGAAAGTAGAAGAGAGGAAACTTGAGAGAGGAGACTTTGGTTCTTGGTGACGAGTTTACAGCTGTTATTAACTGTATTGTATATAGTCAGTGATGTGTGGGGGAGATTAAATGAGATGAGGATTTGCTTCATTTTCACTTTTAATTAATATTATTATCTACTGCCCTTTCAACAAGATGCGCACACATACACATGCACGCACACATACACACACCCTGAAAAGCTTCATGGATTTGCAGTGGTGGATCCGGTCTTCCAGAGACATCTAACAGAAAGCATCATGAAAAAGGATAGAAAACCATATAGTATTTATTGAGGCACAGAGACAACAATATCCTCGCCGTAAAACAGAGACCCACACACACCCCACAGTGACGCGGGTGAGAATGCAATGCATTCTTTTTGTCATGTTGATCAGTTCCTTGGAGGGGTATGGTGCCACAATGCAGGCCCAGCAAAATCCAATTCTAGAACTGGTACATGAGGATCACTCACACAGTTCATCCCTTGCACTCATTGTGCTTCTTGTTCTGCTTCCTAAAAATGATCTCTATCTCTCCTCTGAAGCGCTCATTATTTCTTCCTGGAACTGACCCGAGACTGAGCCTGGCTGAGCGAATGAGTAAACAACAGCCCAGCGGTCCTGGGAAAATAACCATTGTGTAATAACTCCTGGAAAATGTATTTTTGTTCCAAACATTGACCTACATAAACACACTCACATATCACCCATTATACAACAATGCTCTGTTCTTTTGGATTTTGAAAACATATCTTTATTTAGGAGCATCCACCACGATAAATGACCTGATAAATAATTGCTATTGAAATACTGATGATAGCGCTGCTGGTTTTACATCTGGAAATCTTATCATGCAGACTCAAGAGTCTCAAACTCTGGTCCAAGCCCCACTGCTGGTACCTGAGATGCTTTCATCTGCCAGGTAAAAGTGAAGTACACTCACTATGGGAAGATAAACTTAGAATTAGTGCTTAGTTTATCTAATAAGCACAGAGAAGAAAATAGCAGAATTAACCCTAATCCTCGTTGGAAAACCACTGAGGTTTAACTGCTCTGCTCTGTTTTCAGGCTATGGTTACCAAATCAATCCTACTACTGTCAAGATCCGTGTTTTTGTGTGTTTATTTTTGAGTTTTTCCTGTGTAGTCCTGTTCCTGTGAGTCTCGGTCCTGTCCTTCCCTTTGATTGCTCCCCATGTGTGTCTCATTTCCCCTGATTGCCCGTGTGTATTTAAACCCACCTGTGTCTGTGTTCGTTGTCGGATCCTTGTCGTAGTCAGTGTCGTCGTCAGATTCTAGTGTGCTCATGTGTGTGTCGCTCACAGTTGAACTGATAAGTCCTGTGTCGACTCAGCTCTCGTTTTCAGTCTTATACTCAGTTGCTACCGGTATTAGCTGCGTGCTACTTGCTACCGTGCTGCCTGTGTTTCTGGACTGTAGAGCTCCATTCATTAAATTATTCACTTTCTTCAACATCCTGGGTTCAACCTGCGCCGTCTCCTCACCACCAACAATCACACCTCATGACAACTACAATGTGTTTCTCTGCATTTTGCAAATAAATACAACATTTAATTGTGAGTCATTTAAAAACGAAACTAACAGAAAATAAAACACTCTTATTACAGTAACCATTGCTGTGTTTTAAGCCTATAGAATCCATGTTGGATCTTATAAACTAATAATTGCAAAAACTCCAACTTGTAGCTTTGACCAACTTAAATCACACTTCTGACAAAAATGGAACATACAAATAAGCAACGTTCCAGCCAGCAACACTTCGGCAATTTTAAACTGATACATTTTTAAGAAAAAAATGTATCAAATGTATATGTATTTTATGAATGTATTTTTTAGGAAAAAAAATGTATCACTGCAAAATCCTAAAATCTGAATTGTACTTTTTTAGGAAACGCAATACAAGAGGAAAGTAAACATATGGAGGGATGTTACAGTAACACATATTCAGGGCTTACCTTGTACCCCTGGTTGATGCCATTAATGAACTGTTGAGGTGGAGGGTTCCATGTGAAACGGATGGTGGTCGAATTAATAGCTACAACTTCCACTTCCTGTGGAGGTGCTGTGGGAACTGAACACAGGTACACAGACAAAATAAGTAGTTCAATAAAGTGAAAATGTAAGTTAAGAGGTAAAAAAAATTAAAAATTCCACTGGATTTCTCAAGAAAGCATAGTTGTGTATATTTCCTACAACTCCATTGTTCAACATTTTATGTCCTGTTCAGATCTTTTTCTAATTAAAAATATCTGCTTATACTGCTGAATCTAAATGTCAGACCAACTCATCTGTGCTAAGCTGCAAGATGACCTAATTTCTCTAAACAATGACATCCAATATGTTGCAATTTGCATTTATGTATTTTGCATATTATTAACTTTGAAATGACTTAATAAAGGTCTATTACAAACTGGGTTTAAACAATGGGTCACTGGATGAATCCAGAAGCCAGTTAGCTCCTCTCACATTAATCAGTTCGACCTCACAACACATAGCACCATTTATTGATTAAAGCAGATTGAATCTCATGAAAATCTGACATTTTATCCATATTAACATCTTAACTTGCAACAGGTACTCCAGTGAGTGAGCACCACACTTGCATCTTTTTATCTGAAACAACTCTTCTACCAGACATCACACATGCTTCCTTCAGTCAGCATTGTTTTAAATGTGTTAAAATCTGAGATGTCAACATGACTAACCTTGCTTGGTTTTAGGCATTATTTGATTTCTTTTGATTAATTAATTTTGATAAATATGACACACTGTTTTGTAAAAGTATTCATGTCCTTTAAACATTTCCACATTTTTATACATATATCCATAAACCTGACTGTGTTGTCTTGGCATTTTATGCAATAGACCAACACAGAAGAGTGGACAATTGTGGACAAAAATAAGCAAGTAAATTATTAAAATTAATAATAATTTAAAGTATGGCATGCATTTGTACTCAGTCTCCTTTGCTCTGATACCCCTCAATAAAATCCATCAAAAGCAACTGCCTTCAGAAATCACCTAAGTAAATGGAGGCAACCTGTACTGCTGTTCTGTGGAGGCCTCAGAGATTTGTTAAAGAATATTAAAGAACAACCAGCATCATTGAAGATCCAGGAACACAGCAGACAGGTTAAAGTTCAATCTGTAATCTGAAGAGGAGCTGCTGAAATTCACAGCTCAGGTGGGAGAATCTGACGGCAGGGTAACTACTCACTCTGCACTGCTCAGATCTGGACTTTATGTAAGAAAAAGCCTCTTAAGAAGAGTGGCTCAAAGAAAAGGAAAAGGAAACTTTTTCACTTAGGTCAGTACTGATGATGAAGCATGGTGGGGTGGTGGCAGCATCATGTCAGCATGCTTTTTCAGTGTGGACAGGGAACCTACTCAGCGTTGACAGGAAGCTGGGTGGAGCTAAGTACAGAGCAGTCATGGAGGTATACCAGTTAGAGGCTGGGAAATATACGGGAAAGGGACAAAATTCACCTGAAAACACACATCCAGAGCTCCAACATAAAGGTTTACATCAAATAATATTCATGTGTTAAAATGGCTCAGTCAAAGTCCAGACCTAAATCCAACTGACGCCTTGTGCCAAGAGTTGAAAACTGATGCTTAACAAAAATTTTCATCTAATATGACTGAGTGAGTTATTTTACAAAGAATGAGACTTAGTTCTGTAGATGTGCATAACTGGTTGTATCTGTAGTAACAGTGAGATGCTCTAATGACTCTAGGGGGCATGATTATAAAAGTGAGCACACTTTCCAGATTTAAATTCATAAAACATTTTGAAAACCATGTACTGTATCATTTTTCTCCCAAATCAAAAATAATTCACTACTTTTTTCTGCTCGTTTAGTAGATTGCATTATTGTTTTTTTTTGTTGTTGTTGTTGTTTTATTGATGTATGTTACAGAAAATGAGTCTGAAGAGATTTTTTCCAGTATAAATAAAGGATTCTAATAGCATACCACATATCATATGACCTCACAATAAAGATTTCAGGGCAAAAACTAGAATTTATAACATCAAAGCAATGCTCTGAAACTACAGCAGAACAGAAAACACTTTGCAGAGTCAGTACAATCTATTAATGAAAAAGATTCAAAATACAAATATTTCACTATCCTCCTGCTATATAAACATCTAACTGCCAGTCTGTGGTGGCTCTGTGAAAACTACCAGAGCAGCTATTCAGTGGCAGAGAGAGAGAATCCATCATGAACGACTATTAAACCCAGAGAGAGGTAGAGAGGAGTGACCGTTAATCGTGTGTCTGTATGTAAGTTTGTGGGCATGTCATAGTGATTATATGTTAATGGGTTTATACTGCAACTCTAAAGCCTGGCTGTTGCATGATGGGAATGCCCTGTAAATCAGATTTTTTAACTAAAGGGGCTATATGACACTGGCATATATAAAGAAAACGCACAAACAGATTCTTCAGCCTGGAACGATATTCAAGAAACTTCTGCAATAGTGAGAGGCATGAGAAACGACAGGAAGAGTAGGAAGACAGAGAGGCAGACAGAAGATTAATTGATATTAAAGATGTTCTCTCAGTCTCTGCCATGCCGACCCTCCTCCCAGGGAGCAGCTCTTTGCCCCTCGCAGCTCACAGCTCCAGATAAAACTCTAAACTATGCCCTTCGGGGTAATCTCAGTATGCGCCAACTCCCGAGGCCGCTTGTGAGAGAGCAGGAGAAAAGTAATGTTATCAGAGTTTAACACAGACTTAAACCATATCCTCTCAGAGACAGTGAGAGGGAAGAAATGTCCAATCCATCACAGCCACTCCCATTAAAGCACATTAGAATAATTAATGAGTCTAACTCTCTCTCCTGAGTCTATAAACCTGTCTCCAACTCTTGTAATGATGACTGTGAGTTCTATGTTCACATGTGTGAGTGGATCCGCTCATCTTTAATAATTATAATATAACATTGGAGTAAAAATCAGCAAGAGACAAGAACATGTTTAAAGAAGATTAAACCTTACAACCATTTCTGCTCATCTTTCTTTTTTTCATGCTTATATTTCCTTCCTTGTTTACATTATTGATTTTTTTTATAGAGTTGAATGTGCATTCCTGGGAGAAGCCATGTTTCCTAAAATAATCACACTATTATCTGTCAGATATATCTATGGAGCTGTTGGAAAACTCTTTTCCCATCAGTTCCCTCCATCCTGCCACGCCTCCTGCTGCTTGTTAGCCAGATGGAAGATGAACTGGAATCCCTTCAGCACATCCTGGGTTGCCCTTAGAGTCTCCTCCCAGTCGACTGAAAAGTGCTTTGGCTGCTAGGGGATGCCTCGGGGGCAACTTTAATATAACTCAGAACAGCATCAACTGGCTCTTACTGTAATACTGAAAGGTTTTGAAGCTGCAGAGAGAGCCAGCATGTACTTGTCAGTCAACGGATCAGAACATTAAAAACAGGTGAGAGGAGTGGATCATGTCATCATTACATCATCCCTGTCTGTCAGGTCTGCTGTTGCTACAACAGATGTGCAGCTCTTCGGAGTTCATCAAATGTACTTGAACCCACTGTATCTTATCTCAAGACACAGTCGTCCAGGACTAAAATTACTGCATGTACTGGAATCCTGCTGAATAAATTCAGCACAATTTCTTTCTGAAAGCAGCGATGATTGAAAATGTTCTGTATATTTGCTGTGAGAGGCATAAATGAGGAATAAAAATGTGCGTGTGCATCTCCACCGACCTCCCTGCAGTGTGTACTCTGTGACAGGCCGGCTGTACACGCCCAGGCCAGCTCCTGTGTAGGCAGCCACCTGAATCTGGTACTGAGTCCAGATGATGAGGTCCTTCAGCAGACAGTAGTTAGTCTCTGGGCTGCTAATATTCTTCTCTTGGTATTCCCCCGGCAATCCAGCCAGACGGTACCTAAAGACACACATAAAAGCTTGTAAATGCATAAAAGCTTGTAAATGGATATTGAAATTTCTTGTGCGGGAGACATCACTGCCGAATGATGGTCCTGTAATAAAACACAGAACTTATCAGATAAGAATTGTTCCCTCTAGAAAACCAAAACCTGAATCCCAAAGCCTTGTCTTTGGAGTCAACCAAGACACAAGAACTCTGGAGAAAAAACACCAGTACTTTCAGTACTTTTTTAGTTTCAGGACAGGATAGTTTCTTTAGGAAACATTGTGCATCACAAAGTGGCCATCAGATGTTAACCCAGAGAAGTTGTTTGTGCTCATATCTCAGCATTTGCAGTCAGAAGGAATCATTAACACAAAATCCAAAATCAGTTTTGGAAGCTAAGCAATGCAAGACTCTAAACCTTGAAGTTGTTTTTGCAAGAAATATATCTTGTGAAATTATATACTATAATATTTGAGTTACACCACAAACTTTCTCCTTTTCCAGTTCTTCTCCCTCCTTGTCAGTTGAAACAGTGTGAAGTCTTCATATTGTATTAACCACCATAGCAAAAACATTTTGCATTTGCAATAGCTCACAGTTTCCTTCAGTAAACCAGCTTATGTGCAATGTGGAGGTGTGGGTGCTTCTCTCCTTTGGGGATGTCTATTGAATACGGACAGCAGCACAAGCATGTGCAATTATCACACTGCACTGGTGTGATAATTGAGATTTGTTGAGTGTTTTCATCACAGCCAGACCAACGGTAGGCCACAATGCACACTAAGATTCATGTGCAGTCGAGGGAATTTTAACTCACTATTGGTTAATGTGTTTTTCACTGCAAAAGACTACTTACAGTCTGCAGAGGCTTTGCTAATTCTGGCTTTATGGTCTTTTTAAGCCTTCACGACTTAAAAATCAATGTCAAGTGGAAAACAAACCAACATTCAGATTGAACTGATCACTAAAAAGCAGTAAAGGACAAACATCCTGGAAGCAAAATGTTAATGAGCAGCCAGAGCCAAGAGGAGGGCCTAGTGTAATTTTATACTAGTATTTATCATGCATATTTCTTCCTTTATTTTATAAATGGGTCTTTTCTGCACAAGTCAAGACCTTTTAAAGATCACTAAAGACGGTAAGTCTCTAATTTCCTTTCCAAATAGTACACCTTGATGGCTTTTGCTTTAGTATGTGATTTAAACGATCATTTAAAAGAATAGATGACCCACCGAGAGACCAGGGAAGTGCATTACTACTTCAGTTTTGTTCATATCTGATAGAGCTGAATGGAGCAATAATCCCCATGTCAGCATTTTAATATGACACCTATTCTCTATAACAGGATGTTCCAAAAATGCACTGGCTGCATCAGCACTCAATCACACATACTATTGCACACACACACACACACACACACACACACACACACACACACACACACACACACACACACACACACACACAGAGACAAATACAAATTCTGAGTATGCACTGGGGGCCGACATCAGTTCTCTGCAGAGGAGAGAAGATAACCTCTCTACTTTCTATCTCTACCTGACACTCTGGGAGACGAAGAGGAGGCGGACGAGGAGGAGGAGTGGGGCCAATGGAAAAGAGAGAAAATTGAGAAAATAGAAAAATAGGAAGAAAGGAGTGAGAAACTGGCAGCTGACACAAGAAGAAAAAGGAATCCAAAAGGGGAGGAAAGAAGGAGTTGGAGGCTGTGTCCTACAAAGCTGAAATGATACAGCAGGGATGTCTGAGTGTGCATTGCTGTTTTTTAACTGATTTCTGAAGTGGAGCCAGTGAAGTAGAATAAAAACTTGATAACTTCAACTACAATTATATGCAAATGTGTGTGTTTGAGACAGCTGATGACAGTTTGATTACACGGACAGTGTGTCATACTTTAGGTAGACATTACAGAAGAGGAGATCAGCCCAAGGACAGCAGCAGCATCCTCAAAGAGCACTCGTCTCTGCATGTGAAAGTATGCAACCAGGTGTGGTTTTAAAATCTCTACATTGTGTGTAGAGATTTCTATTCCAAATATATCAATGTGTCGCTAGAGAGAACTTTACCACTGATCTGTGTATTTTGTATAAGTGTGCAAACATCTTTATTGATTGATGAATATTAATATCCGTCCATTTATCATCTACTATTTACAATACACATACAAATGTCAATAACAATACTACAATAAAAGCAATAAAAGTGGAATAATTTAATGGTTCCAAATGTTTTTTTGTTTTTTTTTTTCTAAAATATTTCAACCTTAGTCATTTAGCCAATTCAAAAAAAAATTGATATTATCTTGAACAGCATTTCATCACTCGTTTCTCAATAAATAAGTCCGTATAGCTATTTCTTACCAAGAGATTTTTATTTTTTTATTTTACATATTTGGTCAAAGTTTCACTATGTCCTTAGAGTATAACATGAGACAGATAATGTGTGAAAAAAATCAACCTCTTCTTGGCTCCTTGCAGTGCTCCTACTGCCATCTACAGAACTACGCAGCTCCCAGGCAGGAACAACAAATCAGAGGCTGGAAGAATATGTAATTTGATATGCTGTGTACATGCTGTTCACTCCCCAGTAGCTGTTGTTTATTAGTCTTATGCTAGAAATTACATTTCCAACACCATTTAAAATGTTCCACTTTTATATTTCTGTCATTTTCCCAAAGGTTGTGGGCACCAAAACAGACGCTTTGTGTTTTCTGGTCAGTTGACATGGCCTGGAAATTCTCCCAGGTATAATTTTGACTTTAACCAAGCCAGGAAAGACCTGCAGTCATTTAGATTTTTTTTTCAGGGTTCTTCTCTGAGCTTGTGAATTAATGATAAGTCTGCTCTGGTAATTATCTTTTACTAAATGATAAAGCTGAGGTGATGGTGTTTGGACCCAAGCCCAAAATGGTAGCTCAGTCCCTTTCTGTTCATGGCTTTAGCCACACTCATGAAGCCAGATTGATTCTGTTCTTGGCTTTTCTAAACATTTTAAGAACATTACTAAAACAGCACTTTTACAAATTAGGAATATTAGGAAAATATTAGGAAAATCAGCTAATTTATAGCTGATGTAGAAACTCTTATTCATGCCTTTGTCTCCTGCTATCTTGATTATTGTAGTTCTTTATTTTCTGGTCTACCTCAAAGTTCTTTCCATCATCTTCAACTTACAGAAAACACTGCAGCTGGAGTTCTCACAAGACCCCATGAATATCAGCACATCACTCCTGTTCTGTCCTCATTGCACTGGCTCCCGATGACTTTAAGAATTGACTTCAAAATGTAATTTTTTTTAAAAATCTCTGAAAAGTCTTGTATCATCATATTTAACTGAGTTTCTTACCCCTTACATCCCGTCTGGTAAGCTCACATCCTTAAATCAGCTACTACTTTCCACTCCCAGAGCTGGACTGGTGACAGAAGAAGGAAGGGCTTTCATGGTCAAAGCTCCTGATTAGTGGATTGATCGTCCTCTAAATATCAGACAGGTCTCTTCATTGTCTTCTTTTAAATTATGGATTAAAACTTACTTGGATAATAAGACTTTTAATGTGTGAATTACTATTATTATTATTATTATTATTATTATTATGTTTTTCTTGTCTGCTTTTCAACTTCTTGTGATTGGGGGATGATGTTTTTTTGTTGTTGTTGTTGTTTTTTTTTGTTTTTTTTTGCCTACTTTATATTGTCAGAGAGGTTCCAGTCATTTATTCCACAGGTTTGATTGTAAACTGACCTGGATGTGACTTGTGAATTTAAACCAGGACAAGTTGTTATTTAATAATTAAATCATGACTTAAATAGGTGAGCAGTTATATTTTCACATAATGTTAGGATAATATGGATAGCTTTTCCCCTTAATAAGTGCAATCATCATATGAAAACGCTGCATGCATTTTGTATTCACTGAGGTTATCTATGTGTGGTATTTAAATTTACTGATGATCTGAAACATTTCAGTTTCTGCTCTGTACAAATGAAACGAACGAATGAATGAATGAACTTGTTTAATCCCAGAGAAATTCACAAATTTCAGAAAAACATGCAAACATCACACATATATATATA